ATTTTGTGAAGTGTTCATTACAAATGGATTAAAATCTATTAATTTAATTTAAATGGATTAATTAATGTAAATGGATTAAAAAAATAGAAATAAATTCTATTTTCTTTAACTAAAAGCATATTAGATTGAAGATGTTATGAGACACCAAGACAATGATTTTAAAAAGCGAAATCCATGAGAATGGTGCAAAGTAGTAAGCAAAAACCTTATCTGCCAAATGGAGAACTGTGAAACTACTGATAGAAGTATAGCTGACTAAATTTGAGGAGAACCCAATGGTTTCATTGTATTGACATAATTGCAGATCATATCTGTAAACTCTTCTGTGCACATTGACTCTTGGGTGATGGACAAGTTTGCACATGGGAGTCCTTGTTACACAGCTCAGAGCAGGAGTGTAAAGAGACTCCTGGTAGCTCAATTTCCAGGTGGTAACAGTTTCTTGTTACTGACCAACTCTGACATCATGCTATCCTCATAAAATCTTTATTGCTACTGTTAGACCAGATGAATTTTTAAAAAATGCTTTATGGATTATTTTCATGACAAATTCATTGTATTTGGTCTTTTAGTCACTCTCTGCTTCTTAAAACTATTTGCTTTTTTGTTTTCTGCAACATCCTTTCCCGCTCACTAAATACTTGGGACTCTCTAGTTAGGTAGATCTCTTTCAAATATAAACTCTGACACTTGCTATAAGTAAACTTTTTGAATCTCGGTTTCCCCAATTTGAAAATAGGGATAAAAATTATGCTTTCTCCTTGAGTTATTGTGAAATTACAATTTGAATAATAAAAATAACCGTTAACCCTTATATAGGACTTTCTATGAGTCAGACATTGTCTTAAATTATCCATTAACTATTTTAAGCTTCAAGCCAACTCTACAAAATCAGCATTTTTATTATCCTCAAGTCATAGCAGCAGAGTGCTTAAGTAACTTGGTAATGGCAATAGCTAGTAAATGGTAGAATTTGTAATTTGAAACCAAGCACTACGTGTGCTCTAAACCCCTGTGCTATAATGTATATAAAATGTGTGGCAAAACTACTTGGTAATAATAAGCACTCAATACATGATAGCTATGATCATCATTTAAATCATTTTCATTTGTAACCATTACTTCCTTCTCTGGCCCTGTGATTGATTCTGTGTCTCCTAGCCATGCCTATGATGTTGGGGTCCTTCAGAAACTTATCCTTTCCTTTCCTAATTCTACACATTCCTCTCTCTGGGTAACTTCATCTACTATCATAACTTCAATAACATTTATGTGCTAATGATTTCACAGCTTTATCTTTTATTCTGGCTAGTCTTCTGAATTCCAAACACATATATCTACCTTTTTTTTTTTTTTTGGACAGATTGACTTAATAATACCTGAAATGTATCATTTATCTGCTCCACCTTCCCGACTCATTAACAGAGCTACAATACAATTAGTCTTCCAAGCTAGCCACTTTGGAGTCAGCCTCTACTCCTTGCTCCTCTCTAAATCCAAGAGGTTATTAAATCCTCCCAATTTTATTTCATTAATGTCTCTGGAAACTAACACTCTTTACCTATGGTGCTACTGCCTCTATCCAGGCTTCCAGGAACCTCTTCATTCCAAACAAAATGAAGCTTCCACTGATGTCTTTACTACTAGTCTCCCCTTTCAAATCCTTTCAGCCACTATTCCCAGGTCTTCATTTTCTTATTTCTGACTAACCCTCACAGTAACTCTGTAACATAACATATGATTATTACAGAATAAGATGATTATACATTACATGTGATTAGCAGCTAAGGCTTAGAGTTAGAATCAGTTATTTCATTTATGATTTTATAAATACAGGAGGATTGGGTTACTCAATATTATGATGTGGCTGAGTGGCGGGTTGCCTGAAGTGGGATAGAGAAGGTGATGGGAGTCAGGGAAGCCAAGACCCTATAAGCTCTCCTTTTTATGGATCATCTGCCCAGATGTGAAGTCACTTAAGATGATGGCAGTTGCCAGGGTGTGACAAAAAAAAAATGCACTGTCTTCTGAACTCTTCAACAAGTAGGTTTATAGTAGTGATAACTGAGGTAGAGAGAAGTAAAAGTGGACACCATATATGCCAAAAAGAGATATTCATCCAGTGATGGTAGAATATGCCCTGGAAACCACTTTGGCAAAGGGGAAAAATGCCAACCACATCATTTAATCCTATGGCACAGAGGGTGAGATAGAATAAGCAGCTTTCTCTGGACTGGGCTGTTGGGGAATCCATGAAATCAGAGGCCCAGCAGGCATCCATCAAGCCCAAGATATGGAGAGATGCTCAGTGAAGAGAGTGACAGTGTGGAAGGTTGCAGGAACAGCAGTCAGTTCAAAATGGAAGAAGTTAGGAGGAAGGTGGTTCAGGACATTGTGTCTGGTGACAGAAGCCCAGGAAAAATGAAGGACTGGAGAGGTTTATATGCTGGGTTGTAGTTGACCACAGGTAACAGGTATGGCTGGCCCAGAGGACTGAAGAAGTTGCAGGTTTTAAACAGCACTTGCCCTGGAAGCCCAGATAAATGGCCATCTTAGGCTTTCCTGGAAAGATCTCACTAAGACTGGAATTTACTGTTTTTCTCATGAAATACTATCCCAGGAGAGCAGGTAGCATGTTGACTGAAATCCTTGGACCACTTCTAGATACCCTCTGAGCTAGGGCTGAAAGTATCATACTTATTAGGAATCTGAACATCAATGGCAATAAGATAAAAAGAAAGTAAAGTAAAGGGATAAAAAAATCTAACCAGTTCTCCCAAGTCTCAACCTCACTTACTGGCTCTTAGTACAATTACTTATGGAAGCTCCATTAAGGCATCCTAACAGAATACCCTTTGGTAAGTATTGCTTTAGTTGAAAGACCTTCTGAGGTAATTTACAATAAGAAACATTTTCAAGTACTGGGAAAAACCTGGGTTAATTCTTAATAATGAAGTAAGCTTTTTGTGTTTTAACTAAAGCTAAAGTTGAGCTTTAGTGAGGACTGAATTGCTCTTTATTAATAAAGAAAATGAAAGAGCTTGTGTAAACATAGTAGAGAAATATTCTAATTGTGAAAATATTTATATAATATGCTGTTTCATAATTTAATAAATTATTTATTAGTAAAACTCATGAAATTATTTATGCTACTAAAAAGAAAGGTTCTAGATAAAATTATTAACATTATTTCAGTTAAGAAACATTGTACTGTGAATATCATACATTTTAAATGATTTATACTATGAGTGTGGTAGGTTTAATGTATGTCAACCAGTTTGAAAACATAAGCTTACCAAGTGTGACCAACAAGGCCAAGCATGAGAAAAAGAATGTACACAGTTTTTAAGAAATTCAGGCAGCCAATAATACTTCACACATATATCTTTCTGCATTAGATACATCTTTAGAAACACTGAAACTTTACAATTACGACAAAGTTGTTATCCAGGGAATATGCAATTTTGAAATGCCAGAAGGTTACTGGAAATTCTCTGATAAGCAATTCTTTGAAAAGGCATCAAGTAAGATTTATCTGGATTCCATGAAAGAAAATCTCACTAAACATAATGCAATTTGAACATTGTGTAAGTAGAGGCTGAGGGATATGAGTCTTTCTCTACAAATGGATCCCTAACCTGATGGCTAGCTTTCTTTATAAAATTGCATTTCATGTCTAAAGACCCCTATGGCAAAAGAGGATCAAAAGAAATCACTGTGTCACTTGACTGTGAATCTTTTACCAAATCATTTAAAAACCTTTCAGTAGAATTGATTTGGCACACAGCTATCTTATATATTCTAATTTCTTATTATATTAAAAATAAAATGAGTTATAGACTTTGGTTAGAAGGGAAGGAATGCATAAGAAGGATTTTAAGTGGCCTTCATAAAAGCTAGAGAAATGAGTTTTAAAAGCCTCTGAGTGCTTAATAGCTATTTTAGATAACTTGAATATTCTTAATGATTAGAATTCATATTTTAGCAAATTTGAGCCAGGCGCAGTGGCTCATGCCTGTTATCCCAGCACTCTCGGAGGCCAAGGCAGAAGTATCACTTGAGGCCAGCAGATGGAGACCAGCCTAGGCAACACAGTGATATCCCATCTCTACCAAAAAAAAATTAGGATATGGTCAGACAGAAGGGTGTTACCAGGGAATTCCTACAAGTAACTAATGTTAGAAGAAATATAAGCAGCATTGGGAAGTCAAAAATTGAATGAAGATTTTTAAAGAAAATCTTTCATATTCTGCTTTCGCATTTTGCCCAGACTTAGCACACATTCAAAAGAGAGGCTGGGCTGTGGGTGGAATTCTCAACAAGCACAGCTGCACTAGCACAGATCATGTGTATTATCCTTTCCTGACTCAGGAATTCAAGGTTGAGCACCATGTTCTGAGAGAGGTAAAGAACACCGGGCTGAGCATTATAAAGATGATGGGGCCAGAGATCTGAGAATAATTTCATTTGCAGATATTGAAAGGGACTTTTCAGATAGCATGTCCCTCTATGATCTCTAAGGCTTATTGATATTGGTGGACCTAAACTTAATATCTTGAATGGATATGTGGGCATTGGCTGGGAGGATGCTATGGGAACTGACAGGGCCCTGAGAAGAATGGACTGGGAAGGAACCATAGGGTATTGGAAAGAATTTGTCCTTGGTTAAAGTGAGCAGTGGGGACTTCAGTCATAGAGTAAGTGAAGACACTTTACACAGGTACCATTGAGAATGATTGTTGGTTCCCCAACTGTCACACATTCTCACACAGATATTCTTGGCTTCAAGGGTAAATTTGTTTGTTTGTTTTGACTAACCAAGTGAACACAAAAAAGATCAAGTCAGTTAAATCATCAGCTTTCTTGAAGTGGTAGATATTTTGAATGAGTTGATTGACAGACTCATCTGTAGGTATAAACTTTTGCTTAAGCAGAATTTATGAAATTTTTTTCCTTCTAGTGGTGATGACAATTTTATCTTGTTATATCACTCTTGTCAGGTTCTTCTAGCTACAAAAACATGCATTGTGAGTCAACGGGAAGGAGTGAGCCCAGCTGGTAACCTGACACCAGGAGCATGTGAGTCCACTTGGAAGGCAATTCTGTTAGTTTGATGCCATTAGCACATACCTTGGACCAGTGAGCTTCTCAGCTACAGACAAATGTTTCCACATTAATGGTGAGACACCCTTAAACAGTAAATAATATCTGGATATAAATTCTCATCATCTGTGTCCACACATGACACTCCCAGGCTGCATCTGTGTAGGTTCTTAAAAAGAAAGCCAACTGAAGCAGACCCTAAAGGCTTACATTATAAAGGGATAAAAAAAATACAAAAATTCAGCCACATTATGGCCTCCTTATCACTAAGAGCTATTACTCTGTTTTGGGTGGAAATTGAACTGGTCTGCTCTGATTTTCCCTTTAAAAGGTCATGTAAATTACTACCTACATTAAATGCTCTGTTGGTTGCTGGAAACCTGTTGGGTCTGTCTCTTCTCAGGTATTAAAGGTGTAATGACCAGTTTGTAACTCTTGAAGATACTTCCCTCTTAAAAAAAAAAAGTCTTACAAAAGATAAATTTCCTTTTTTTTTTTTTTTAACTTCAGGATACCTTCTGAAGGTTCTTAAAATATCTGTAATAGGCCAATGGAGCATTTTCACTTTGGTTTCTCTGACATTGTTTTACTAAATGTTAATCCATTATCTCTGTTTTTCATCTGCACCTTTATGGTAGAGCAGGCCAACTAAATGATTTCTTCTAAGTTTTACTTGTAAGATTTTACAGAACACTTTCACAAGTGTTAGGGTTGTATACACACTCGTTAGTTCTCTGTATGTGTCTGATGTAATGATAACATTCATTGTACATCTGTCTAAAGCTTTATAGATTCTAAACTGTTTAGAAAATTTTTATATAAAACAATTCCTCAAAAAAATCAATAATTGCAAGCCTAATCTTTCTAGTTGCTTTTATGTATCACTAGGCTGCTTGACAGTTTACAGGAATTTCCTGTTCCTATCAGATCAAGTCCAGATTCCTCCTCTTGGCATTCACAAAAACACCCCCATCCTACCCTTAATGCAACCAATTAGTTCTTCCAAGCTTCCCCAAAGAAGACGGTCAATCTCTGAAGTTCATGGAATAGGCTATAGTCAGTTCTGCCTTCTTTCATTGTTTTCATCGTTTCAAGTTTTACCTTCTGCTACTTTTACAAATACTTCCAGCACATCCTCTCCCATCTTATGGTCTTCCTTCTCCAAGATGTCACTTAATCTCTCACGTTGATACCAACTTCTCCTCCTACTGAACTCTCAGAGCCTGTACATTCTGATCAAAGACTTTTTCTTTTGCATCCAATTGTGTATTTCATAATATTTTATGTATATATATGTGTGTGTATAAACGTCGACATACGTTTTATGTATATCTTATGTTTTCAAGAAGATAAGTTCCCTGAAGGAAAGGGCCACATTGTATGTTTGTACTATTGTACTCTGGTACCTAATGCTTCACCTGACGTACATCACTTAAAAGGTGTCCCTGGCTGGGCGTGGTGGCTTATGCCTACAGTCTCAGCATTTTGGGAAGTTGAGGCAGGTGGATCACCTGAGGCCAGGAGTTCAAGACCAGCCTGGGCAACATGGTGAAATTGCATCTCTACTAAAAATACAAAAATTAACTGGGTGTGGTGGCATCTGCCTGCAATTCCAGCTTTTCAGGAGGCCGAGGCAGGAGAATCGCTTAAACCTAGGAAGTAGAGGTTGCAGTGAGCCAAGATCAGTCTACTGCATTCCATTCAAGCCTCTGTAACAAAGTGAGACTCTGAAAAAAAAAGTGTCCCAACTGGAATTAATTACTCCACTCCCTGTAATACTTTCAGCCTTGATGTTGTTTATTCAGCTATTAAAGCACTTATCACAGCTGTTTCCCACTGTGTATTGTGAGCTCTGGATGAGTCACAATCCTGTCTAATTCATCTTTTTATCTCTCAAAGTACCTAAGATGGCATTGTGTATAAAAAGAATTTCACAATACTTGCTAATTAAGTTTCTATTAAATTTCAACTTTATTTAACATGTCAGCCTTCTCAATAGCCATCTTTTTGAGGAACAAACATTTCCACAGTTAACACTGATTATACTTGAAATTATGTTGGCATATGGCATATGAGAAGAAAATCTTTGATGCTTTCCTAATTTGTTTACTCAAAAATAATGTTAAAGTCTAGATTTAAATATAAGTTAGTCAGCTGTGCCGTCAGATCATCTTTATTTAAGGGGCAGTTGCTATATCAAAAATGCAATAACAGATATTATTAAGCATAGGCAGTACTTTCTATAGAAATGTTAATATATCAATGTGTTACACAGTTCTCAGCATTTTACATTATTGTTAATTTATTTACTTCAGTGTCTTTATGAATTAATTGATATGCAACCGGCAAAAGTGAAATGAAAATTGTATTTTCATTGTATCGTTCAAGAAAACTTTATGACATCATCCATCCATAACTGATTACCTTGTATTTTTCATGTGCTTTTGATGTGAATATGACAAGATTTCTTTCCTCAGAGGTGGGCAGAACTTTTCATGGACTTGGACAGCCATGGGAAATCATTTCACCAGGACTTTGGGTAATTTTAATTAAAAATTCAGTTCAAGTCAATCTCTTACGCTTATCAGAAGCATCTGCCATGTTTTCCCGACTTAAGAACTTGAGCTGAAAATATGAGCATTTTCCGGTTATAAAAGCGCCACATCTGTGTAAAGTTAAAATAGCTTCTAAGGACCATTTTCAACACATTTGGATCTTCCAAATTATAGTTTTTAAAATGCAGCTTCAGAGAACAACACTGATGCCTCATTCAGTGGTGTGACTGCATTTCTTGCTCTACATGATGCCTTCTCCCTCAGCATGTGTTTAATTCCTTGTACCATTAGTCTACTCTTAGTTTCTTCATTAGGCTCATGGCCAGGACATAGCACACTGCCTGCCACGTAACATTTGTTCAAAAGTACTTGTTGATTGAATGAATGAGTGAATTAGTGAGTTTAAGGATAAAAGAGCCCTGAAAGCCCTGTCTTCATTTATTTCTCCTATGGGTTCTAATTGTAGTTACTGATTCTAGCCTGGAATGTTCTTCAAATAGAACACTGCCCTTAAGCTCCTGAGATTAATTGGTGAAAATTAAATCGAGAATCAGAGGATCAGAAAGATAAAGTGACTTTTCACAAACAAGAAAATATTTGAACTATACATTTTATTAGAAAAGGCACTTCTGTTAGAAAATTCTACAAAACTCCAACACCAACAAATCTACAGTATGAAGTTTCCCTTGATTTACTTCTGATGTTTATTGCAGACTCACAATAACCAAAATAAAAGTCTTGTAAAGTCTGTCTGTTCTTGCTCAAGGCTCAGATCTTGGTTCCTGAATCAGACTTTTGTTCCTTGTTTAGGTAAAGCCTGAATTTTTTGGACTTCGAGCCTACACTGGCAGGGTTATCAAGTTATACAGCTCCAATGTATTCCATGTGAATGGTGCCCTGGGAGATCTGCCCCATGGTGGTGTCATATGCCTGAACACATAGCTGTGTTCATTATCCCAAGGTATTTCTTTGAAAAAAAACTTTTCTATCTTTAAAAGTCTGATGTTACCCATCTATATTAGTCAAGTTTCTTCAGAGAGACAGAACCAATAGGGTAAAGATATAAACAGACATAGATATATGGGAGAGGATTTATTAAACAAATTGGCACACATGATTATGGAGGCTGAGAAGTTCTATGACATGTCATCTGCAAGCTGCAGACCTTGGGATGCTGGTAACATGGCTCAGCCCAATCTGAAGGCTTCAGAACCGTGGGAGCCGATGGTGTAACTCTACTCTGTGGCCAAAAGCCTGAGAAGAGGAGTGGAGAGGGGGATGAGGAATAGTGTAAGTCCAAAAGCTAGGGAGCCTGGAGTTGTTGTCCAATGACAAGAGAGGAAGAGTGCACCCCAGCTCCAGCACATACATCAACATATTCACCTTGTCTCTGTTCTCTCTTGGCTGCTAGCAGATTACAAGGTGCCTGCCTGCATTGAGGGCAGATCTTCCGCACCCAGTCCACTAATGCTAATCTTCTCTGGAAACACTCTCACAGACACATCCCAAAATAATGCTTTATCAGGTTTCTACATATTCCTTAATCCAGTCAAGTTGACACTTCAAATTAACTATCTCACCGTCATGTAAACCAAACCGTAGCACTTTTTATGAAACCAGTGTGGTCTATGGATAACAATTCAAGTCATTCTTTTGATGGTAAATCACACTAGTTTAAATCATGAGTTAGATGTGTAGGGGGCTTCCAATCTCTCCATTTCCCTACTTTACTAGGGTTTAATTGACAAATAAAAATTGCGTATGTTTATAGTGTACAATGTGATGTTTTGATATATATATACATTGTTATATGATTAAGTCAGGCTAATTAGCACACATTGCCTTACATACTTGTTCTGTGATGAGAACATTTAGGAGTTACTCTCTTAGCAATTTTCAAGTATACATTTTTACTAACTATAGTCACCAATAGATCTCCAAAAATTACTCTTCCTAATTGAAATTTTGTAACCTTCGGCCAATATCTCCCAATTCCTCCCCTCTGCCCATCCCTTACAACCACTGTCCTACTCTCTGCTTCTATTGAGTTCAACTTTGTCTTTATTATTTGACAAATATAAATTTTATATTATGTACATGTTGTTTTGAAATATGTATACATTGTGGAATAGTTAAATTGAGATCATTATCATATACATTACTTCATATACTTATTATAATGAACACCTAATATCTGCTCCCTTATCAATTTTCCAGAATATAATACATTGTTATTAACTATAGTTACTATGTTGTACAATAGAGCTCTTGAACTTATTCCTCCTTTCTAACTGAAATGTATCCTTTGACCAACATCTCCCCAATCTCTTCCCCAGTCCTTTGTAACCACTGTTCTACTCTCAGTTTCTATGAATTCAACTTTTTTAAATTCTATATGTGAGATAAGGCAGTGTTTGACTTTCTGTGCCTGGCTTATTTCACTTAACCTGATGTCCTTCAAGTTCATCCATGTTGTTACATATGACAGAATTTCCTTCTCTTTTAAGGCTATATAGTAGATATTGCAGATATTTACCACATTTATCCATTCATCCATCCATTGATGGACACTTAGGTTGATTCCATATCTTGACTATTGTGAATATGAATGCTACATTGAATGTGGGAGTGGGCCAGCTCTATTTAATAAGAAGCATTACCAATTCCCACAGAATTTAGTTCTTTTTAAAATATCATCTGCAGGATATATATATATATATACACACACATACACTATATATATTATATATATAACATATATGTAATATATAATACAGGTGATATACATAGATACTACAGATATACATATGTATATATATTTATTTATAATATATATATATTTGTAAATATGATGTTCCTTAAGAAATCATGTTTCAAATACTATGTAATCATTTGTAGAACTGAGAGAAGATTTTTCTAGATTGAAGGCTCACATTGTATCAATTTTCCCGATTAAAAAAAAAGCACTTGAAATGAAATTTGCAATAAATCACTGTTTTTTAATAGTATTTTATGCAAAGCTCCAAAAGCAATTCAGTTACTCCAAATACATTTTTTTTTAAATTAGAAAAAATTTTTAACTATGCAATGTACATTTTGGTTTATAATAAGTGGTATGGTTTAGATCTGTGTCCTCACCCAAATCTCATGTTGAAATGTAATCTTCAATGTTGGAGGTGAGGCCTGGTGGGAGGTGATTGGATCATGGGGGTGGTTTCTCATGAATGGTTTAGCACCATCCCCCTCATGCTGTTCTTCTGAGATCTGGTTGTTTAAAAGTGTAAAGCACCTCCCTGCTTTCTCTATTCTTCCTTCTCAGGCCATGTGAGATGTGCCTGCTTCCCCATCACCTTCTAACATAATAGTAAATTTCCTGAGGACTCCCCAGAAGCAGAAGCTCTAAGCTTCCTGTATATCCTGCAGAACTGTGAGCTAATTAAAGATTTTTGCTTTATATGTTACCCAATCTCAGGTATATCTTTGTACAATGCAAGAATAAACTAATACAATGAGTAAGCTATATTTCACACAAATACCTGTTCTATGGATTCCTGTCTTCATTCTCTGTAAGTTAATCATTTTCTACTTTCTGCATCTTCAAATTATCCATTTCCATGAAGTTTTTTGATATGAATATTCAAATATTTTCAAACTTATCTTATTTAAAATTGACATTAAAAAAAAGTCTTTCAAGTTGGTTCCCCATTTAGCTACCTCTCATTTACCTTCCTACACCACCAAATTTCCCAAATAGCAATCTTATGTTGACTCTCTGTACTTCTTCATCTCCCTTTCACTCCTTACCCCAGTACAAACTGTGTCCTTGTCCCACCACCATACTGAACCTGTTCCCAGTAAAACTGTCTCTGACCTCTGAACTGGGGAAGCCAACAGGAACTTCTGTCTTTACTAATCTTGTTTGCTTCATATAATACCACTGGCAGTACTCCCTTAAAAAAAATTCTTCCATTGGTTTTGGTAAAACCATTCTGTCCTCATTTTCACTCCTCCATCCTCTTTGGCTAATTCTTCTCAATGTCTCCTGATGACACAATTCCTTTTTCTCAACCAAAATCACAAGTGTTCTCTAGGGTTCTTACCCACCCTTCTTTTCTTTTTGATAGATATGCTTCTGGGATAACTCATACTGCTCATAGCTTTAAATATTTATATACAAATAACTTTTAAATCAATATCTCTACATCAGATATTTCATCCCATTTATCCAAATGACTACTGGATATTTCAGTTTGAAAATCCCATTAAGCTTCCAACTCAAAATGTCCAAAGCCATGGTGTTCATCCTTTCCATACGTGAACCTTTCCCCATATCCTCTATCACAATGGATAGCATTACCAACCAGTCTGTTGTCAGAGCCCTGGGAACTATACTTGATACATCGCTTTTCCTCCTGGCCTCCCATCCAATCTTTAAATCATGTTGATTCTACTTATGAAATATCTCTTAAATTTATCCTCCATTTTCTATCTCATTGACATTATCATCATGATTCCTTTAGAACAGTAGGCTCTAACTTTTTCTTGCTTGGAATTTGTAGTATATTCTTTCTTTGCTGGTCTTCCTGGTTTGAGGTTCCCTGCCCTCCATCCCTTCTTATAGACTGTGGCAACAGCGGATTTTCTAACATTCAGATTTGTTATGCCGTTGCCTGCTCATAATTCTTAAACGGTTTTCCATTGACCCAGTATAAATGTTAACCTGTTTAACATAGTGTTAATGACCTTTTATGATGCTTCTCCCAATCTGCCCAGTCTTATTCTGCACTACTCATTACAACACATTTTAGGCTTTAGCAATGCTAAACCATTTGCATTTACCGAAAGATATCATACTCTTGCCCCTCCAGTGCTTTTTAAATGATATTTACTTTTTCCAGAGTGATATTTTGCATTCATGTCGCACACACTCACAAACACAAATCTGCCTTACATACTTGTAGTCATCTTCCAACTTTCACCACGTTTATCCTTCCCTGAATTAATCCTCTGCCTCCTCTATAATGACTTTTAGGGCTCCTATTTTATCTGTCATGTGAAGTATTGACAATTTGCTTTTATGTGCCTTTGCCCTACACTCTTTAAGTTCCCTGGGGGCAGAAATTGCATCCACAGACTTCATAAAGTAATTTGTACATGGTTGGTAATCAAAGTAGATGGTGAATGAGTGAAAAGAAATTTAAAAAATACAGGTTCTCCTCATGATTGAGGGTCATTTACTTGAAAAATATTTTTATGAAAATGAAAAATGCTAAGTCAAGATTGCAAGTAATTGTTTTCTTTGATCACAACATGACATTGTTTCGAAGTTCTTTCTTCATCAGCAACACAAAGCTCTTAAAAACACCAAAAATTCTACATCCTAAAAAGGAACAGTTTGGCATAATCCCCCAAAAGTGACATAGGCAAAAAGGAACAATAACACATGATTGGGAGACTGGGAAGATTGTAAAGTGAGTCACAGAATTATAACCTATCTACTCCACCCTGTGAAGGACATGCTTCCACTTGCCTGCTCTATGTATAGAGAATGATCAGATACTATGTTTGAATGAAACAGTAATTTACAGTCACCATTGATTTAAAATGATTCACAGACAATTATTAATCCTTCTATCTATCTCTGGATTTTCATCATCAAAATTATTTTGTAGTATTGCCTACAAATATTAAAGCAAGATGAACTCCATAAAATGAGGTACCTTAGACTGGCAAATCATTATTATATGTATCAAAAATGGTGGACAAGCAACAGTTATGGGTAACATGATGACTCTTGTAAACAGTATATTGAACCAAAGAAGCTGGACACAGGAAGATACTTACATACTAAAGTTTTTCCCACACCAGGAGATAGACAAATTAAGAGAAGCAAGAATAAATTGCCTCAAAAGTCAGTGTAGTGATTGCCTTTGAAAAGAGATTGAAAGGGAACACAAAGAAAGCTTCTGGC